ATCATTCCAAGTGAGTCATTTCGCTGGGACGAATCAGTTATTATCAGCCCACGGAAAAAGCTCCCTCTCGATTCGTGCTTGTAATGATAGCGCGTGTCATTCGAGCTTTTCGGGCTGCGATATTGCGCTCCCCGGATGTTGGCTGAACGCGAAAATATGCGCCTGTAGGCGCTGAGCGGTGAATTATCGTTTTATCAAGTGTGGTTTGGGATTCTCGTCGCGGTGCACTAGAGGGGGCGGGAAAATTATTGTTAACTGACAGCAAAGGGGCAATAAAAATAAATTTCCTCGTTTTACACACGAGTGGACTGCTCTATGTTTTGGTGAATGCTCGAGCTTGTAATATATGATGGCTTACTATTGTCGGTGTAGTTGGCGAACGAGAATTTCGATGTTATGGTTGAGTGAACATATTAGGGTATTGAATTTGAGGCTGGTTTGTAAAATTTGTGAAAAAAGAGTAGGTATTAATTATTGAATGAATTAGGATTTTCTTCGTGGACAGGTGTTGCAGTGTGGTGGGAATGATTTCTTTTATTAAATATCTTGAAAACGTATTATTGAGTAAATTATTTAATGAAAATTAGAAATAATCATTTTATGCGATTTACAAAGTTGGAAATCGAAGTACATCGTTTGAATACCGAGAGATTTTTAAAAAACTCGATTTGAAATTAAAAAAAAAAAGATGTGTTCGTTTATTAATGGAATTCCTATGATTACAACGTCCATTACGCAATTTTTAACCATAATTTTTTAGTAAGAGAACGCATAGGTGACAACTACTATTACCTGTCCTACCAACTCATAGCAGATAGGTTGATACAGTAAAAGCTAAATGAATTTAATAGTTTTCAAAATTACTTAAAAATTTTTCACGTGATTTTCTGTAAAAAATAACTACGTAGTTTCACAGATCACCAAAAAACAACCCCAGTAACCCACTAATGTTTAACACACAATTATCTCTTGATGATCATATCCAGGATGATAGCCTATATACATTTCAAATTTCAAGTAACAAATAAAAAAAAAGTCCTGAAACAAAAAATCTCAAAGCTCGATTATTCCATGTATTTTCCTAGTGTGTTACCGTCCGTGCCAACCGATCGATTGTGAGAGTCCCCACGATGCTAGTTTTAGCTGCACTGATAAACACGGCAATTCATCCCGTTTTATTATTTAGTGCACGTGTACGTGTGCGTGTTTACAGCGAGAAACAATAGTCAGTAGGATGGAAGAGAGGGACGGAAAGGCCAACGGGAGAAGATATCATTCTCATTGGTCCCTGTGTAGAGGGGGACGGCGTGACTAGCCGGCCAATATACCCTCGTATACGTGCACCCTATTATGACTGCACAGCTCGACTGCATGTTGTAACACGCAGGTACGACTGTCGCATGTAGTTTGATTTATCGGACCATCGTACCATTGCTGCTCGACTCGGGAGTTTGCATGAGCACTGAGAAGACGCCCTTGGGATTATGCGACTCGTCTGGATCCACATACGTACCTGTCTATCCGCGTGTTTGTACGGAATTATTGTGTACTGTATATATGTGCCAGTGGGAGAAGATCTCTCGCTCGCTTTAAGGACGAAAAACGAGACGAAAAATATCCTCGAGTGCGCGCAAGGGCTCTCTCGTGCTGTATTAGGTATTACCTTCGAAGCTCGAGCCAACGAAGAGATGAGGAGATTAAAGGGCGAAATAGAGCGAGCTTGGGACGATTGGTTCGAGGACCGGGAAGATGCAGTTGCAGGCTACGGAAAGCTTGTGCGCGCGATTTAACGTGTACGTCGGTAGTGGAGCCAAGCATCGCAGCATCCAATTCGTTTTCGACTTCAGGCGCACACACGAGCTATGCATTATTTTCTTTGTGCGACCCCTATTCTCTTTTCCTCTTTTTCCCAGTATTATGTATAATGGATGTTTTCCTGGCGCTCGTACCAACCTACCTCGAGAATATCACGTGGTAAGTTTTCTCGAGTCAAGTGGTTTTTTGGAGCATAAGAGCTCTTCGCTTCTCTGTTGTATTGTTTTATTATTTATTTAAGTTTTTTTTTTTTTTTTTCAACAAAAGTATCTATTTCTTAATTCGCCTTACTGAGACATTATATTCTGGCTAACGCTTAGCTCTACAGCTGCTGCACTGCACTGTACAATGCGGTACAATAAAAAATTCAGGGCGATGAAAAATTGAGCCTGAAATCTCCACAACGGTTCTAATCAGCGCAAACTGGGATATGGGCACAGATGATATTTCACGAAATTCGTCCGCATACAGCGGAGCGAGGAATCAGCGCCAGAGGTGGGAGTAAGCGGATGGCGTTAAAATCCGAAGCGTTTGACGAGGCCAGCCGTGGGTGTATAATCCGTTATGCGAGAGGCGTCCCCGCGAGAGGGCTTGTGTTTAATCGGGCGTCAAACGTTTCGAGTGACGCGTCGAAGCCACCATAGGTTGGGAATCATTGTAATCGGGTGACAAAAACCTTCGTGTTACTACTGTAGTCAAACCAGAGTTGTATACTGAGAAGATGATTGATGGGTGGTGGGATTGTAGGTACATGAGATGGGGAAATGAATCGCAGATTGATGGGAGGAATATGTTTGGCGGGGCGTTTCTGTACTGTTGGGATTATGTTCGATACGTAATAATTCACGGGCTCAAGAGTGTTACTCAGCCAATATAATGACGGATGTTTGCATCACTGGTATTCAATTCTGAAAAATCTGTAATGCATACTCTGATGGGAATAATGTATATCTAGGTATGCATTTCTAGGATATTCTATTGATTTTTTTCGACATGATTTGCAAAGGACTAAATTCATGGAAAACTTTTGCAAAAACTCTTTTATTTGATGATCGATTTTGAAAGAAATAGACTTGCAGTTTGAAAAGAAATCGTTAACAATAAAGCAAAAAAATAGAGTGCAGGACGTGACGCACGCGCTCAAATCATAAAAACACCAGTGTCCACGTAAAGTTACAACGGGCCGAAAACAATCACATTTAAAGCTGTCGATCGATTGTTACCTTAAATATTTCATTGTGAGCTCTATAAATCTGCAGTTGGCTGTGGAGAAAAACATCTTTTTTTCCTGTGTAGGGACAAAAAAGCCGGGATTTGTTTTGGCAGCGACAGTATGGATGCAGGTATCAATGGAATCCTTTTATTCGAATAAAACGTGTGCCATTTCCAAAAATGTGTTTGGTACTCGCATTTTTTGTATATATAAGATAATGAACGAATCCCTGAGTTTTTCATGTATTTTACATTCACGATTTTTTCAAATCCTCTATTTTCTACGAGTGGTTTATTATTATTGTTATTATTATTATTATTATTTGTCCATTTCAAGTAATGCGCTATAACTTCAATATTGGTGTACGTGGGTATTACTTACTACAGTTGACACAAAATTATAAAATATTTTATAGAGCTATCGATGAAAAGCCAATCTTTCATTGACTTAGAGTGAGAACCACGTTTCATTTTCATCCAAATAAATCGCAAAGTAACGTTCGATGTTTACTTTTCACGCATTTTAATCTTTTATTTCGAGGGAAACTTCCCACCAAGTTCCCATGGCTGTAGGAAAATTGACTTGTATTTGTTCTGTGCTGTGGTTATGGTTTCTGCCAAAGACAATGATATATTTTGCATGTGTGCACACAGAAAGCACAATGTACAAGCCTCCATTTTAAAAATTTTTTGACAAAAATATAAGAGTAAAACTTAGAAAAATGAAGTGGTTGAAGAAAAAAAATGAATTCTGACAAATAAATTAATTGTAAAAGTTTTCAAGTTAATGAATATTATCACAGGTTGCAAGGGTCAAGGAAAAAACATTTTTAAAAAATAGTAAAGAGAAAAGATCAAGTAGATTAGATGCAGCACAAGAAACGAGAAAGAGAAAGAGGGATAAAAATGTCGGGAAACATAGCCGGCTAAGGAAAATCCAGGACGAAAAGAGTGGCACAAACTTCGCCGGTAATTCATAAAGTAAAGGCGACCTCTCCATGGAAACTTGGAAAGGTGTTGGCTAGCGAATATGAATACTCGCGATGACGTGAGGGATGAAGAGTGTATTTTGTATGCATGTATATATGTTTCTGAAGCCACAGCGCACTGCGAACGGAAGTTTCTGTCACTGCGGTAATTTAACCTCTTGTCACCTTCAAGACTTCCTGTCTCTAAAGCCCTTTCGCCTCTTTTTTTACCCTACCTCAACATGACCCCTACGCGTCCCACGTGTGACACCAAGGTGTCACAAAAAGGTTGAGTTTCGTAAAAAATTTTGATATATGTGACGTGACTCTACTAGAACGAGACCTTCATAATTCTGATAAGCATTTTAGTTGAGCTGGCGAGAACTGGGTACTGTCAAGTTCATTCTGTTTGACATTTATTTTCGGAATTCATTATTTTGCTGCAAGTATAAATGCTACATTTCATTTTGAATGTAGTTTACATTAATGAGAGACTACTATGGTGAAGTAAAAAAAAAGAAAGATTATTGGCTCGATTATTTGGTCTCGTTTGGCTTGGCTTTGTAGAGATACAATGTCCGATGTAGTATAGGTTCTTCGAAAGATTGGAGGCAATAATTTCCCAGGGGAAGCTAAAAAACCCGAGGTCCAACAACACCCGCCGGGTAGAGACCGATGCCCGGTACTAAAATGGATCGGGATACTACGTGCGATAGTTGACTCTAGTGCACTTTTAAACTTTATGACTCATTGCCTTATTTTTTCCTATTTTTATTTGATTGCCTTGTGATTTTGTTTAACGAGCTTTATGTTTCAACAAAAGTGTCACCAAAAACACGCATAATAGTTATAAGTTTAAGCTTTTCGTGTACAGACACTATTAAAATACGTGAAATTTTTTAACTTCAACTTCAATATAATTTTATTGAAGAAAAAGAAAACGAATTTTTTGCAATCAAAATTATATTCTGTCAAAAAGTTATTACAAAATTAATCGTTTTACAGGTGGCATGGCTGCGCGTTAACACGCAAACGATCCTGACGATAGCCAATCACGTGATTACGAAGAACCACAGAATCTCAGTGACGCACAGTGACCATCGCTTCTGGTATCTGCACATAAAAGAGGTGCAGCAGGCAGATGCTGGGGATTACATGTGCCAAATCAATACCGATCCGATGATAAGTAGTATTGGATACTTGCAGGTTGTTGGTGAGTTTTGTGTTTACACACGTGTACTACATTCATTTACGTTTTTCTCAGGGATTTCTTGTATGTGATTTCAGAGTGGAAATATCTCTGCTGTGAATTTTACAAAACCGATATGAATGGTTAGGAAAGAGTGATATTTTAAGTTTGAAGTATTACGTATGTGAAAAAATTCTCTTTTTTCCAAGAGTATATTTGAATATTTTTATACGTGGTTCATATAAATAAAAACAAACGAAAATGTGTGTGAATATTGTAATACTGGATATGGATAAACGTCTTTAGTCAATGGTATTATTGAGTTATCAGTAAATGAAAGGTATTAAATTACGCGACATACATCTCCTTTTACTAAGAAATGCGAATTACATAATAAGCTTCAGGCACACAAAATTCCTACAACAAGTCTGATTAACACGGTTTTTTTTTAATTACTCACTGTTGAATAAGTTGATTTGTCAAACTATTTCAATAATGTACTTTAAAAATTTCAAAACGATCAATAAAAACAGCGTGTCAAATGAGGTGATGACGAATTTTAATATCTACCAAGTGAAATTTTGATAAAAAATGTTATTGAAATTGACATTTCTTTTCTCGTAATTTAGCGCTTAATCACAATATTTTAGTATTTTCTCTCATTCCAACTCCATAATTAATCTCATATTAATAGTGCCACCCGATATACTGGACAGTCCAACGAGCTCGGACTTGGCAGTACGTGAGGGTAGTAACGTTACGTTGAAATGCGCGGCCCGAGGCGTACCCGAGCCCAACATCACGTGGCGCCGCGAAGGCAGTGGACTGATACCCTCCAGCGACGGCCGGGAAGGTAAGTCATAAGCTCACTTCCGTAAGTACATCTGTACTTTGGCTTTACTTACTCGAGAATCGTATTACATCTTTTTTCTGCTGTCTTAGATTCTGGATAGTGATATTGAAGTAACGATAATTTTGTGTTTTGCTTTGTGCTAATGACGTGTGTATTGCGGATGTTGTTAAAATAATTTTTGTTTGACTGTACATGGCTCGATTTTTTTGTTTTGTTTCAAGAACAATTAAGCTTCAATATTGCAGCATCTAGTTCACTTTGAATCGTTACATATGGAATTGTATTCGGAATTATATTTTTTTTTAATGTAAATAATTTAATAACAATGTAAAGGTTTCTAAAAATCATTGATTGTACTGAAAGCCAGTATTGATTGGTACACCATTCATGTCGTACTTTGGGAAATTTCAACAAAGCAGAACTGAATTGCTGCACCTGATGTGGTCACAGTGTACTGGAAACAGTGTGAATGCTGTATTGATTGATACGATACCATTGATCTGTTGAATTGGATTCAAGTTTCAAAGTATAGAGGGTTCTGCAATACAATGGCACAGCGCTAACGGGTGACTCGGTCTCGTTTAATTATATAGATTAACTAACTATAGCTCAAATATTCCCCTACAAATTCAGATATGACAACTAGGGTACATGTCCCTTTCATCAAGAATCCAAGTAAATATCATATAATTCAAGACAATCTTGTAAAATTTCTAGTGTGTTTAAGTACACGTTTAAAGCATATAATCGAAATTTCTATTTTTTATGAAATGCATTATTGTAGTCTTGATAAATGTTTTCGAAAAACCCAAATTGATGCTTCGACAACTATTGCACCTACTAAACTAAACTATTGTTTTTCTTTAACGATTGACATAAGAGAGCTGTAGATTGTAAAAAATTTCTCTGTCACAGACTTTACATACTTGTAAGTGTGTAAATTTGAGATAGTCAAGTTTTTTCAATCCATAGCTTACTTGGTTTTCCCCATTCAAAAGTGTCCAGTTTAGTGAAACTAGTTAACCACTGGGTGCACCGTATATTTGATTGTTCTTCAAATTCTTATTCACGCCACCTTCAACTGTACACTTTTAACGTATTGCTTGATACACTTGGATTTATAGTGAAAGCGATTATTAAGTACTCATGTATAGAGAAATCAACTCATGTAATAACTTACTATGTAAAAAAAAAAAACATTTATTCATTATAAATCCTAATTCTGATTTTTCATACAATATTTACCAAGACAAAAATATCTAGACAGAACTCCTTAATTGCTGCCCCAAATGAAATACAATCTACATGAAACGTGAAAGTGGCCTTTTATTTTTTTACGACACTCCGAGTAGTGTCCAAGTTTACTCTTCTCATAAAATCTCAATAAACAAGCCAATGCTGCTGGTGTCCTTGTTCCTACGAATAAACAGCTATTTTAGTTTTTATAATCGTACAGATGACGTCACAAAAGTACCGCGTGAACATACACTCTATAGATAAGAGCTGATAATCTCTCCAAGCATGTAACAGTACGAGGGTGCACGCGCGGATACATAGAGAAATAGAAAGAGAAAGAGAGAAAGAGAGAGATTCGAACAGCCAATGAAAAAAAGTTTACATAGTATTGACCGGACGCTCAAAATAACTTACACAGCCGCGTCGTTAATAACATCTCCCTCGGGTTTTGTACCAACCCGCCCCAGCAAGCAAAAGACACAATACACAGACGACGACGACTACGACGACTAAGGGTATGCGTATACAAGTGCATACACGTATGGGGGAGCAAGAAAAGCCCACGCAATGGGTATTATATACACTGGTTCTCGCTGCGGCCGGAGGAGAGGTGAATAATGTGTTAACACGATTTTGGCCTCAACTCTGGGTTGGACTACTACCTACTATGCACGGGATTTTACTCTCCGTACAGGATGCAAGCACGCCGTTCTCACCTCTCTCTCTCTCTCTCTTCTCTTTCGGTTTCGTTCCGTCCATCGGCTCCGTTTACGCAAATTGTAGAGTCAAACGTCGAGGAAAAAGCTTTTGATGCTGGGGTGGGTACCTTGATGCTCGTTAGCTGGAGCGTGAGTTTAAACAACTCGTGGTACATGCGCTCGTATAAGCCAAGAGCTCTGAGTAAATATATTTTTTTATTTTTTTGATCCCTTTTTTTTAATCCTTGACGCTTTCACTCGTGTACATTGTTTGCTCACGCATATTTTAATATCTGGGATTAATTAGAGAAGCTTTTTGCTCTGTTTTCCTTTACATTTTCCTTCGGCGTTTTTGCTTCATACGAAACGTTATCCCGCTAGCGCTCGCTTGTTGTAAAAATGTTTGTATATTGGCCCTCATTAATTTAATTTTGGTATGCAAAAACAACTGCTGTGTCTTGGATGTTCGCATAAAGTATTATTGCAGTGACTAGCGTCGAGGGCTCGGTGTTGAGCATAACAAGAGTAAGCCGGCTGCACATGGGTCCGTACCTGTGCATAGCATCCAATGGTGTGCCACCGACCCCGAGCAAAAGGATTATGCTAACCGTTCATTGTGAGTTTACTTTATGATTTTTATCGCCCCACGGGGCTTTTGGCCTGATTCTTGTGCATTAAAACCTCAAGCTCGTGGCTCTTTTTCTCTCTGCTGTGCACGCACAGTTGGATTTATTTACAGACCGAGAAGGTGTATACTTTCAGTTGATTCACGCTCGATCTTTGCTCGCAATCAAACATGCAAATGAAAAATACTCCGAAAAATAATTAAACGTGAAGAATGTCATTTTCATTTATATTCAACAATATTCAATATTTTTTTTTAGTTCAAGTCAATCAACTTGTAGAGTGTACCTCTATTCCTAACTTCTGTTTCACATTAAATTATGATACGTTTGCTGTACTCAGAATTTAGCAATGTACTAATGATTAGTTTCCCTCCATTTAGTTCCACCCATGATAACGATATCAAATCAACTGATTGGAGCTCAAACGGGCCAGGAAATCATTTTGGAGTGCTCCACCGAGTCTTTTCCGAATTCGATAAATTACTGGACCTTCAACAACTCGACCATAGAAAGTGGTAAGTAACCATAATTATCATCTTAAATTTAAAAAATACAAAAGAATATAGCCCTCATTTTATATGTATAAATTAATAAATAGTGTAGCAGCAGCGCATCTTACGACAAACATTTCAATTGTAATAACCCTAATTGAATAGCAGTATAGTCTCGAGAAAGCATAGTTGTGGAATAATGCTTTTGATCCGCTTGCGGGCAAATCCTGGCCTCCCATTATTTCGACTCCTGGTTCAACCTTCCTATACGCCACCCATGCCACCCACAGGGCAAAATAGAACGGATAGATGCAAGTAATAATCGCATTCACTGCTTCCTCGAAGATACCCCTGAAGCTTGGCTGGATAATGGCCCGTAAACGCGAACGGGTTGCCTTCTCCTTCTCCTTTTCACCCTCCATCGTACCTTTTACCACTTACTCAGCAACGTACAAACACCCACCCCTTTGCGAATGCAAAGTAAGAAGCTACCGACTCGCTAATCACTCGGCTAATTAGGTTAATCGCTTATTGCGGTTGCTGGAGCAGAGCTAGCTCCTAATCGGCAATAAGCAGAGAGTGAGAAGGGTAAAACTTTTCGTTTTGCGATTGATGGTGCGTTATAGTTTATTGAATGGCTGGCATAGGAGTTAACGGCACATTTGTTGGCTCTATGTATATTATTAAATAGAGTTTGCACATATCGCTACAAAAATAACATGTGCAGCTAATCATTGCCAGGGGGCCAATAATTATAGGTACTATTCACACCTATTTTTTTCTCATAGTCAATAGATGAGAGTATGTTGTAGTTAACACGTTATTCGAAAATACACTGTTTTGTCACACATCGATTTTAAATGGTTAGAAGCAAGAATTTATAGCAGAGTTTAGTGAAATTTAAAAAAATTTCCATCTCGATCCAACTTCATACTGTGCATAAGTAGAACATTTTTTACAACATATTTTTTCAAAGCCATAGAGCTTGCCTGTAATAACTGGTTTTCAGTAGTATAAAATGCTATTAGTTTTTTGTTTGAGAAGCTGCAAGTATATCCGATGTTGACATAAATCTCGTAAGATCATACAAATTTACATTGTACATTGTAGGAAAAATAGTGAATCATGCAAAGAGTATATAGAATAACAGCTGACTGCAAATAAATTAATCCCTCTAAAATCTGTGAAAATAATACGAGCGTACCTTGTTAACTTTGCCAATATCCATACGTCAATCCGCATCTGCACGTGGACGTCTACACCTTCGACAATTAAACACCAATATTGTGCCGTGAGCGGCAACGTACTCTATTTTCCCATTCCAAAACTGTATAATGGAATTTCTATGTTAGTCCGTACAAGCATGCACGTTTTATTTCGAATGTTATACGGGGCTATAAAGCCTGCACACGCGATATTTGAAATATGACGACGATATGAAAAAAGAAAACAAGTGCGTACATATCTACGTATGTAATATAACAATGTATGTGTGGGTACATGCGCGGGACGTCTAATCCTCGTCCGCAAGGGGCATAATTAGCCGAGCGTTATTCGCTGTCAGTTAGTCTGGGATGGACATAGTTAACTGACAGTCAATGGCTAGGTCACGAGCTCGTGATTTCACCTTGCAGCAAAGTGTCTGATTTCCCTCTCTCGAACTCTCGGACTATGCATTTCCATCATTCGGCCACTATTACCGCTGTTGCTGTGAAACTCTCGTGTGATTCTCTTACCGTTCAATTACCATGATTAAAAGCATGTGCAGACGAATCGATTTAGTTGCATGCATTTTTCTAACTCTATAAAAAAAAAGAGGATAATATGAAATAGAGTAGATTCAGATGTAGAATTGAAAACGCGAAAAGGTATACCATACACAAGTAAATTTGTTACATTGTTTGTATAAATAAATGCAAAGGACTGCTGTCAACAATTTTGGAATAAAGATTTGTTAAACTCCTATTCATGGATACTTTTACAATAAAATTTCTCTTTCTGTTTTTCAGATTAGGATTAATGGTATATTAGCACACGCTTCAGCTCTTTCTTTCCTGACTTTTTTTTTTTTAATAATAGAATCGTTGCCACATCTCTTTTCAACTATTAATTTAAAGATTTATTTACAAAACTCTACGTAAAAAAAAAAAAATAATCAAAATAAGTTTTTTTTAATTTTTACGTTTTCTCTTTCTATTATTCACTGCTACATTAAAATTTTTAATATTATGTTTATGAGATTGAATTTCTTCATCATTCTTCATAAGATTAATTTCAAAGTTAACAAATTTTTTGAAAGCTTATCTTTTACCGCATCAAATAGATCGAGTAAGTAGTTTACAGAGAATGCTAACATAGTTTGACTTCGATGACGAAGTAAAATGGCCTCACAAGAATTCATTGGAGTTCTTAATAAACATTAATTCCTTAGTGCACCAAGCTTAAAAGAAAATTCGTTTCAATTTAGGATATAAGTACGTTAAAGATTGTGCAGAATTCAAACTACGATGCTTTTTGTCCTGCAAAAATCTCGAATGAGTGATTTATACATGCATAAATACATCTATGTATGGGGCTCGACGAGGGTTAAAGCGATAAAAGTCCGCGTCGTTTAACTTTTTCTTCTGCTTCTTAAAACTTGAAGCCAGTGAAAGTTTTCTATAATGCAAAGGAGAGGTCGATAGCTTTCTTGGTTATCTATGCATACATATACCTACAGCTGCTCCAAGGACATAATCTGTAGGCATTAAAGTTTTCATCGCTAGCCATCTTCCTTACATTCTCTCATTGTTATAATAGTTCTCATCAAAAATACCTCTAGTCTGTTCAGTGGTATCAAGACTTCATTACTTTTAATTTATTGGATAAGTGAATAATAGAAATATCGCAATGTACCTTTTAATGCAGTACAGTTTAATATAAACTTTCAATGATCCATTAACTTTTTTTTACATGTAAAAAATATACTAACCATTCCGGTAGTAATCATAGTTATAAACTATGCAATATGCAACAATTAAATATATCGGTATTTAAAGAAACAACTGTTTGATAATAACTAGGTTACTAAAAAAAATTAAACAGTAGTTCTTACATTAAAAAAAAAAATTATATAGATTGGTATTTTTTCTCAAACCTTTTACCCAAACTTGAAAACATCTTTTTTAGAGTCTACGTTTGATAAAGTTCCCCAAAATTTGTCAGCTGTTTGTTATGTGCACAACTTTGAATTGGCGTCCCCATTGTGACATTTAAGAACTGTGGATTATCTTGAGCATATTAGTTTATCTGTTTATTCAATTAGCGGGTTATTGATCGAATATAGAGTATATATATATATATGTAGCGAGAGGCTGCGCAATCTTAAAGTCTAAACAAAAAGTATAAAGTGTTTTTGAGACTTTCACAGTCTTTGGAACACTTTGAATGAATTTTGCAGTATTTTTTAATGACTTCCAGAGTGAGCAGCCGCATTGATATGTATACTAATATCATACTTGGACTAACCAAAAATTCTCATTTCTACCGATGGAAACGCTGGTCCAAAGTTGTGCACAAAAATAGATCCATACACATGCATGGCCAATCAGGGAACCCATTCCGCGAAAACAAACATTATTTTGTCATTCTGCTGGTGCGCAATATACGCACGTGCGCGTATTTTCTCGAGTATCAATCATAGACACGTATAGCTATAGACGGTGCAAAGAAGGAGATGTACAACTCTGTTCATGCGAAACAGCAGCCACACCAACAGAGCTTTCTAACGCCAGTTCTTCCGACTCGTCGAGCACAAACATCATATACGTGTAAGCGCCACGCCAATGGGCTACTCATTCCTCGCGTACAGTAGACGCCACATATGTTATACATGTATACATCGGCGAATTTTATTCAACGACCCCCATTCCTAGAATATTCCCTCCAACCCCTTTTTTTACTTGGAGGTCGTTCGAATGACTGCTCCGGGGAAAAACACAGCCCCAGCCATCCTTTAACCACTGCCTGTCTATTTTTTCTTCCAACGTATGTATACGTGCCATATTGTCAAGGTACTTTGATCACCAAAGAGCCAAGTTATACACAAATGTATACATGTGTGCGGCAAAAGGTGAGCTCTCACGCTATGCATATCAGGGGCAAAGAACTTTTCAAGAAAAATAAGGAGTAAAAACCTTTCTCGTCTCGTCGATGCACACAAACAGCTCTCTGTATCGTAAAACTAATATTTTATTCGTGTCAATGCATGTAAAAAAAGAGGATTAAAACTCGTACATCGATGGTTTGGTGAAAAAAGCGCCATGATATTAAATTGCAGTGAATAAGGGGCATTTTGAAAATTTTTTTCCAAATTTTGTGATGACAATGCTGCCATTATCTTTATGAACGCAGAAAAGGCAGATTCTTTTTTCACTCTCACAATTACATTAAGTTGTCATTACAAAGCCTTCGAATAAGCTCTTTTTTATTTGAATTTTAGAATAAGCGTTTTCTTTTGCTGAGCCGTCAGTTATTTAATAAATAATAATGTTTAATAATATTACAGACTCACTGATTTTTTGCAGGTGATAAATATAGAATCACGCTGTCATTGGATAGTTCTTACATATACAAAGTAAACATGAAGTTACTTATAACTGAAGTTGGAGAAGATGATTATGGGACTTATAAGTGTATTTCAAAAAACTCTCTCGGGAGCACTGATGGAATGATCAAACTATATCGTGAGTATTTATTTTCTTTTGTTCAATGACTAATTTTATTCTAAATAATGTTTCTAGTAGTACTGTCGGTAGTATAATTATGCTCCCAAATCTGCAGTATCAAGTCATATAGGTACTAAAGTTAGTGATGTAGAAGTACTTATCGACGATTTATTGATGAATTAATTGCAGTTTTAATGAGCAATAAAAATTTTTGTTGTTTGTACAGGAAAAGTTTTAAGTACTGTACGTAAGAATATAAACTTTCAATAAAAAAGTAGAAGGCAAAGTGTTTAAAATAAAAAATTTAGTTGTGTTGCGACTTATTTGTACACCTAGTAAGCGAGCACGTCTACAAAATGTCAAGTTTGAATTTTCAGAAAAAATAAGTTTAGTTAAAAAATGCAGCAAGTATTTTATTCTATTTTCGATACTTTTTTTTTTATATAAATATCCAATTAGTCTATTTAATTACCCAAGCTGTTCTACAAACACAGTTACATTTCAATAAAATCCACATTTTAACAAAATTACAAAGATTTTAATGTAAAAAAAGCATGCTCTTTGGTACAGCTCAAAATTTTGACATCAAAGTAAAAAATAATTTATCCCTGCCCAGATATAGCAAAATTCAGCAGCTTCTTTTTATAACATAATGAGAATATTTCATGGTATGTATACTTAAGCACTGACGGACTATCTCTGCTCTCTTGTTTCAGATATTCCAACGCCGACGACTACGACGACAACGACGACAACGACGACGACGACGACACCGAAGCCGACAACGACGACAACGCTGATTCCTACTGTCACCAGAGGTAAGAAGCTCTTTTCTTCTTAGCTCTTATTTTTTCCCTCATTCTCGCTTACCCTTTTCTTGTTTTCTTTCTTTCTTTTTTCTCAGTAACTTGTAGAAATCGCTCGAAGATCGAGCAAAAAGTTTTCACATTAATAAAGCAAGTTTTAAACGCCCCGGCGACTTGCTCAACTCTACTTTGCCCTTTTTGTTCCTCGCACCGTGCTTTTAATCGCATTGTCATTTCACCAGTCGGCAAACTCTTTATTTCGCGCTAGTAATTACGCTGGAACTGGTGATGAACTTTCAGAGCAGAGCCGAGGAACATTTTTTCCTCTAACGACGTGGTTACGATGTATTTGTAATTTTATGGGGCTCGAGCAAACTGACGACGTGCAAAACAAAAAAAACAATCACGATAAAAATGATGAATGAAACTTTGTTTTTTAAAAATATCATATTCTGTATACCTCGGGCTTTCGTAACACAATAGAAAGTGACGGCAAAGAAACTTCGGGTTATTGATATAACTTTTTATTATGTGTAATATTTAACGATCCGTTACAAAAATTAAAACTTTAGCAACAACAATGCACATACAATATTCTTTTTTATTAAATGCACATTTTGAATCGAAGCATACTATCCATTAGAACAAAAGAATTGTTCCGGTGATGAGAATTTTAAATTAACGAAGTAAAATTCTGTTATTAATCTTTGTTGTTAGGTGTGTGCATTTAAACAGCTTAATAATCTAAACAAAATTCATCAATAGTCTTGTTTAATTGAAAAACTTCGATGCAGGGATTTACAAAATAAGGATATTATTATTCGGATAAAAGCCGAAATTGATGAAAAAATAATATTTAATATCAGTTAAGGACTTTACATGATTTCAATTAATATAAGTATACTTAGTTTTGAAACGATCCATTTTCATATTTCAACAAGAAATAAATTTGTTGTCTCGTGTGACTAATTTATCAAAATCGAAAAATCTATTTAGCTGAGAAGAAGCAAAGATACCGACAAAAGGTTACCCCGAGCACGGAACCACGCGCAAACGAGATCACGGAGGCTTCGGAACAAGGAACGAACAACAAAGGTAAATTTTACTGATTAACTCTGTAAATTCAATTAAGCGCTCATTACAGCTCTTTGAATGCTCTCATTAATTCGGCCAAAGCTGAAGTTTTGAACTAAATTTCAAAGTTATACCGAGCAAACGTGCTTGCTCGTGCAGTTGGCAGAGAACTTCAAAACATTTGGGTTCTGCATCTACACAATTTATTAAAACATTTAAACAGCTTGTGTTTTAATTATTTCACCACTTTCAACTAAAAAAAGATTTGGTTTGGCTTCCCGCGAAAAAGAATACAACTTATAATTCTTCATTAAAGAAATCTCCGTTTACAGCGTTTTTGCGGCAAAAAAATTCATTTAAAAGTATGTATTTAAATATTGTTATTAAATAAAAAAAAGTAAACTCTTCTGATAAATTTTTGCAGTTAGCTTTGTGACATTACTCTCTATTAAGCTCAAAAACTTCTAATTTTCATTTAGTTTTGCAAAGATTATACCATTGTAATTTAAGTAGAAAACCAACAGATAGCACTTGAAAAAATAAACACGGTAATTCATTTTACATATTCGAGTTTATACAAAAAATTAGTAGTTAAAAAAAATAATAAACAACAAGTATTAAAAAGGATACATTAAAAAACTATTATTCATAACAGTAGTATAGTGATTTTTCGTAGGGGCTCTAAAATAATTTAAGTTCTTTTTGTTTTAGAACTGTAAATATTGTTCATATTATTTTTACTTAAAGGAGACGATTATATCTTAAATTAAAGCGCCAATACATGAATATCAAGTTTAGCTTCAGCTGGAAAAGCAGCAGAGAAGATGATCTGCGATCGTGTAATAAGCCAAGCGGATGAAAATTCGTCCCTGAGCCGGTGCGCGCGCGCTTATCGGGCAAATGTAGCGCGTAGCTTACAGCAAGCTCGCGGGATTGGGCACACTGTATTGCAGGCTAATCGCACAACTATATTTCGTTCCATTATACAACCGTATACGGGTATGTGTGCGTGCCTCATACGGGTGGCTCATTTGAGACGATAAGGTCCTTTGAAAGCCGTGCAACTCAGTCTGCGTTACTGAAAAGCTCAACGCACTGGCGAGAAGATCGCGTGGGGTATTCGGTATCGCTGATATAATGACGAGATCCGAATTAGTTTCTGGATTTGTTGGATTATTTTAAGAATAGGAGAGCTGACCTGACTGTGGTATTAACTGCGTTGGGCTATTGTCCAAGCGATGATGAACTGTACAATGAGCGTTTCATTATGAATTTATATATGTCATCAACTTTGTTGTCTTACTGTACTTTTCATTTAATCTAACTAAGTATGTCTTTACATGCCATTTAATAAAAATTTTTAACGCAAAACGTTTGGATGAATTACTTTTTTATACTCCATATGATTGATTGCTGTTAATTAAATTTTACCAATATTTAAAATAAGAAAAAAATAGCTACGTTTTTATAAAAAAATCTCAATGATTTCTTACCAAAATTTAGTTGGAGCGCTAAAGTACTGATGAGTAACTTATTCATATCAACTGATTTCGTTTATAAGTAAAAGATTAATGGATCACATAATAAAGCCTTGTTGTTTCTGATTGACATTTCTTAATACCTTATGCCTTAATTGACGTTGATTGATCACGTGATTTATCTGGAGTAGATAAATTTTAAAGTACGATTGTAAGAAACGATTAAAAATATAATTTGAACCGGTAGATTAAGTAAAAGTAAAGTTATTCATTTTGAGAAACCTGATTACTTAAAAGTTATTTATTATTATTATTATTACCTACTAGGTTACAAATTTATTGATGTATAGTGAGTTTTCGATATCTCTTATATGTCATCTTTTTTTGGTACAGATTCACGGCAACGAGGCAAAGGCAATGACGATAACGGCAAGGCCGTGGCCAATACCAGCCGCAAGGGTGTTAACAGTAATAATCTAGAGCAGCAGCTAGACAAAACAGCCCAATCACGGTCGTCACCATCGGCGTCGGCAGTTTCGTCCCTGTTACTGAGGCCGCAAAAAAACACGACGATGCTCGCAATGTACCTACTACTGGTGCTACTCGTCAGTTGTTTTGAGTTCACATAGTCCGGCCGAGATATTTCGTTGGACGGCATAATCGTATCTTCTTCAAATGTTGTATTTTATTGTTTTTGTTTTCGCACCATCACCCCCCTCTGAGAAATATGGTTATTGTGACAACAGTGTTGAAAAGATTCTTCGGCTTGATGGACGTTATTGAAGTTATAATGTTAAACGTAGGGTATAGGGAGAACTTTTTTTAAAAATGGTGCAACGATGATTTGTTTTTGTGGAATCGTGCCCAAGTCACTGCGTAAGTGAAAAATCCATGACAAATTTGCAAGAAAAACGATGATTTATGTAAATAATAGTACGCGTAAACGATTTCAAGGTGGAGAGTATTGCTACATGTTTAAGGACGATCGAACATAGAGTATGTGAAAACGTTAGACATGCAACGCATGATTTCATTTAGTACTAAGATTATTTCGATACTGAAAGTACGAATGTATAGGATTCATTAATGAATGAGTGTATAGTTTTAATTTTACCTATAAACCGAGAAAAATAGACCCCTCATTTATAATTATGTATAGATGCTATGGAAACCTTGAAATCTCAAATGTTTTGAAGTACAATGGAAGTATGTAAATTACCACCTGAATATGTATATAAAGGACACGTTCTTAATTAATTACCTTCGTACTATGTTTGATCGACAAGACGAACATTTTTGATTAAAAAAAAAAATTTCAGCTATAACTTAGTTTATAGAAAACTTAATTAATAAAATAGTTTTTACACTGTTTTGTTTTAAGAAACTAAACTTTACTTGACTCTACATTACAACTGCTGTGTATACATTTTTATTATTGTGTGTATGTTTGGGTGTGTATAATTAAATTACACATGAACGACTGAACGGTTTTATCACCTAAAACAAGCTTTTGTAAATATTAAAGATAATGTTACGCTGAACTCTTGAGTAAACACCATTAAATTTGAGGAAAATAATTTTGTAATAGGGTTTTTCATTTTCAGAGATGAATCAGTATACAAAGAAAAACTTTACTTCCCATGAAACTTCAAATTATACGTAATATTTCATGGAATGTAAGGTATTTTTTTTGACAGGAGAATTTATCGATGTATATAATTTTTAATCCAAACGGATTTACATTGATTTGTAAATAGCATAATAACAATGTGAATACAGACATAGTATTATAATTAATGACATAAGTTAATGTACATACCAAAAACAGTATTTATTAGTGTGATGCACAACTGTGTTTGCGTATAAAAATACTATTGTAAATATACAAAACATGAAGATTGCATAGTTATGAATATTTATATCAGTGAAATTAAAGTAATTTATCTTTTCAACATTAACCACTAAATAATAATGCGAAATTTTTATATTTTCACAACAATTAAGAATTGAATTTTTCTCGGATGTGAGCGAAAACATTTCTTTGAGTTATTAGAAAGTAAACTTTTGCAAATAAATGTCTGTGTTCTCCACAATTTCTATCTTTCCAATAGAATTAAAAAATAGTCATTAAATAGTAACTGTAAGTCATAAGAATAATAATGAAGTAAAGGTCAAAGAAAACAGGGTTCGTATTTATTTACTTCGGATATGAATGTCAGAAACTTAGTTATGTATAGTTTCAGAATAAAATGTGTGGTAGATGCGGTTACAGGAAAACAAAGTTTTCAGCAATATATTTTTCGCATCATTGGTCGATTATACCAACTTGTAATTTCAGCAATGTACTGTAATATTGTGTAAAAAATCTATTCGAATAAAATTTTGTTTATAAATTGTCTTTTATTTAAAGTTAGTTGAAAAAACATACATCGTTAAGAATCAAGTATGAGACCTAATTTATGTGCTCTTTATTGATCGAATTTTTTTTTCTACATTCAAATATATCAACATCATGAGGATAACCAAAATTCTCTAATCATACAATCTATAGTTACGTTTTAAACAATATTAATACTATATTGAATACACGCAAAGGATAAAAAATATGTTTCATGAAAAAAAGGATAAAAAAAAAGTTTTTTATTAAAATCACTATATAAGTAGAATATAATTATCATCTGATAATTCCTGGTAAAAGTATTAAAAACAAAATTCGAATATACTGACCTATGGTATACATGTGGGTAAAGTAGATATCTAGATCGTTACATAAATTTACTTTAACAACTGAGACGTCGATAACGCAGAGCTCATAAAATCTTACTGTGTATAAAAATCTTACTATGTATAATTATGTATCAATTATGATAACTAGTTTTGTAGTCTTATGTATAAAGATACTTACCAAGCAATATTACAGTTAATAATGTCAATTCAATTACACATGTAAATAATTAATATAATAATTTATTTCAGTACACAATAAACAATAGGACAATGTTCAATAAAGGAAATTTTTTATTGGATTATAACTTCTTTATGTACAGTCTTATTTTATATTTTTGTTGTACAAATACATTATAATGTGCTTTACATACATACTTGTATACATAATTATTCGCAACTTAAAATTATAACCTAGATTATAACTATCGGAAGCTTTACAGCATTTTATATGTTTGAGCCTCTCTTTATTTGAGTATTATTGGAAAAATAGTCTTCGAAATCAGTTAAATCATACCTTATACTAAATTGCTTATAAAAATTCTGAAAAACACCATACAAAAATTAGGAAAAGTATTTTTCAATTTCTTAATACAAACATTAAATCAAGAAAATTGTAGAGAAGCACAATTCAAAATCAATCTTACTTGGGTATTTGAAACCAATGCAAAAACGTAAATAAAATAGCCAAATTAAAAGTTTTTTGGACTTCAAAGGTTTCAAGCAACTTTAATTGCTGATGCACAGTTATCCATTTGTACAAGACTTGTTCCTAAAATTTCGTATAACATTGCCAACAAGTATGTTTCAAATAATATACTTTACTGATCTGTTTGTTTGAACCGTTGATAGATACTTGTTTTCCCCATGTTTTGTGTTTCCTCTTTAATTTTTGTTTGATATTAATCTTGTACGAAAAATATTCAACATTTGTTTTTACAAAATTAAGAAGCAAATGATCATTTTGTTATGTATGATTGTTAATCGATAGTTGTTGCAGACAATTTTTATCCTGGTGGTTCGTTTTTGTATTTTATATACTACTCTTCTATTAAATATAATAAAATTAAAAATTGATTTTTGAACGTAATTATTTTAAGTACAGAAAAAAATTGAATCATCAAAAAGTTTTAAATTTTACTTGCCTATTACTACTTAAAATCTTTAAAAACAACTGATACAATTGAAGTTGCCAACATAAAATTTTTTTTTTCATTATGAAGTTGTGAGTTGAATCAAAAGACTTTTGATATGATAAACAACGTAAACAAGCTATCATCGTTAAAGCCCAAAATTAGTATGTACATGACACATACTATGGTACACGCATACGTGCTTTTACATATTTTGACTGCACAGCACTTACTAGTTATTATTTGTCCTAAAAGACAAGCTCATAACTATTTAATACAGATACAAGTTTAAAGCCCTCACTCGATGCTGTTTGATGTAGGAAGAAGACTTTGATTCATTATGATTATTAAAGTAAATTTTTGACATTGATTTTCTGTTTGTTCTTTGAGAAACTTTGCAATACTTTATGCATGATGTAGCATATTACAGATAACCTGAACAAAATATTAAAATCATTAATTTTTTATTCTATTTCATTTTTGTAGTACTTACTTCCATCACACTGTAAAGTTTTAGGTATAATTTTTACAAAAACGTTAGATTTTACATGATCTGTATAAATAATTTCATTCTAATTCTCACTCACTCACTATTCAACTAAATTTGATTCTGATACTATGTAGAATCGTTGAACAAATAAAACTTTCGAAACTAAGTTTTGATGAACATGTATCAATACTTGTTCAATATTTTATATCAAACATTATTTATTTTATATTTATTTAATATTTTATTGTTACAGAATGAATACCATTATCAAAGTATGTACCACGTTGAAAATGACAAAGAATATTTTTGTTAGCATAAACTAAAATGCTTTACTGCAATGAATAGATGATTCTTTTAATGGACTTCAACAGGTTATCATAGTAACTATTTAAAAATAAAGTCTTTTTCCTATGCAATCTCTTCAGTCAAGTATGTCTTACAATTACATGCGCAGGAATGAATCAATTTGCCGCAGGAAGATTAGATATTTTACACACACGTATACGTTCCCCCGATTATTTTTATATTATTTCTAGGTACAAAAGCGATTTCATGTACTTGTAACGATCTACAGATGATTCGAGTTATTGCTTCGACCATAGTCTTTAAACATCTTTTTTTCGTCAAAATAAAACAGTCACCGGAGTTCAAAGGAAAACTAATGGATCACTTTCATTTACCAAAACACACAATGCGAGCCAATGCTATATACAATGAGTTTAGTGATTATACGAAAACGCCAGGCACACTTTTAATCAACATTCGATCTTCGTTAAATTTATAATGGACTGAACAGAAGCATTCGTTTCTCAAAGACGTCAGTCTTCATATCTGTATTAATCCTTTTACGTGTACCATTTCAGTTTCTCATTCGCACTGACTATTGAGATAGATAAACTTATTGATAATTAAAAGTGAAACTTATTCACAATCAACCCATTCGGCAAAACCTAAGTCATGCTTCCGGTTTTTTTTTTCAATTAAAAAAATATAATAATCACCGAAGCGGTGACTAAGACATTTGAAATGATTTTCACCACTACTTTCTGATCACTATACTGAAATAACAGCTGCGACAAATTCACTGTTAATGGATAAAAGCGCTAACCCCGACGTTAAATCCAAAGCAGCTTTACTACTATGGAAATAGCTGCTCCAGCGAAGCGACACCCTCGCATGTAATAAGGAAGAAATAAAACAAGAAAGGAAACGCAAGCCAACCCCCAACTGCGACTGACGTGTCTATCATAGCCGCCCATCTCATAATAATTGCTACCAGAGCGCAGAATATGCAATTGACAATAAAAAAAAGGGGAAGGGAGAGGCGTACAAAACAGCCCATCGCTTCACGGATTTATTTATTCCCTGCGTGGTGAACTGCTGCCGCTGCATGCGAATATGTAATGCCCCCACAACGCGGCGATGCGCCCGTCGACAACAGAGACTGCACGCACGGACATCTCAACCATCCGACAATGCGACTATCCTTCTCCCCCTATCTCTTTGTGTCAGTGTATTTCTCTCACTCCCCTGGTTCCGCCGAAATAAAGGCAAAGCGGAGCAGCCCCACGAGGGCCGAATTTTATTCAATAAGTCGTGCGCAAGCGATTCCACTTTCATTCTCTTTTTCCACCCCCCCCCCTCCCCGTGCACGCGCCGGTAGATCCGGTATGGGACGCATATCTCTTTCGTCCGCACGCGCGGGCGAGACTAGATACGCAAGAGGGATGCGATGAGAAATTTTCGGGGATCAAGGGTGCACGAAAGGGGCTCTGATGGTTGGGCCATACAAAAGAGGGGATGGTTCTAAGTGAATTTTATTCAGAGGTTTGCTTCATTTCGCGTGAGAACACAACGGACGACCAAATCGCTATGGCGTCGCTGCGAAAAATTGGTAAATCGGTTATTTCAGCAGAATTCTCGCACCAATATTGTACATCATCTTCGAATATTTCGTACTAAAAGAAAGACGCTTCCGTTCTGGAGAAAGAATTTATCGCGTATCAGAGTACACTCGGGTACTGTATTGTGTGTGTATTCTGGAAAAATTGACCATATTACTCGAGAATCGGGAAAATTTCACTGTAAAAAAGGCCTTTTTTTCTTCATATCACACTACAAGCCCAAATATAGCTACTTTCAAGATCCTTTCGACATCCGCGTGCGACACTCGAACGGAGTTGGAACATTTTTCGCAGCTGGCACCACGCGACTATTGCAAGATTGACGCTCTTCCCTTTGACGCTATTCTCTTTTGTTCGCTCTCGCCCCTCCAAACACGGCCCTCGCACGTCTCTCTTCGATGTTTTATTTTGTACCCTTTCATTTCGCTCCTCTTGTCAGTACGTTTCTTTGAATCACGCCGTGAAACCGACATCGAAGCGGAAAATCGCACCCTTAATATCACACCGTCTTACCCTACCCATTCCTTTCTGATCTAATAAAGAATGATTGTACCGCGAATCCAATCACCTGAATATTTGATGTTCCGTATTATGTCGCACTTTGAATCGGTAACTGTAAATAACTTTTCAGAAAGTTGCAGTTACAATCGGTCCGCTGAAACACGAAAATAATAATCAAATTTATAGCTGTAACCCACTGTGCTCGAACAATTATACCCAAGGAACATGACGTTTCTGGCGATGTACCGTTTGAGTTATTTCAAGCCGAATTAGATTACCCGAAAAAGATGTCCCATATCCATCGAATGCCCCACTTTAAAAAGTCCAAGCATTTGGCTTATTTTAGGCGCAATAGTCAGCGGGTAGTACGTCGAGTCGTCCAGTCGAGTGGTTGCACGAACAAACACTCGATACACCACATCATACACGCACGACTTGTGACTATCTCCGTTTTTTTTAAAGTCAACACCCACACTACACGCGCTCTACTCGCATACCGCACAAAAATATGCTTGCTTTTTTCGCTCATACGAAATCCACCCATCGATGTACTGATATACCTGCAATGCAGACCGATGCACCAGCTGCGAGAGAAAAAACGCGCAGCTGCTGTGCATTCGAATTGTCGTTCGAAATTTTTCTTTCTTATGCATACATTTATTGTATCCGTCTCTCGAAACATGCTGCACACTACGCATGCCTGCAGTGCTTGAGTATATGCTTTAGTATACGTATACATGTACCTAGTTATTATACGATCGTGGGGTACGAGTGCTGGGCTTTTGCACAATTGGGGGACAGGGGAACTAGTGACGCTGGCAACAAATCTCGCCGTACGCTTCTCTCCCTCGTCATCATCGTTTATTTTATTTTACTTTTTTTTTGACTATGTACATTTGTATGATTTCGCGCTCGCAAGCGAAAACCTCGCACTTTATGAATATATGTATTTGTGGATATATATATAATGTATAGTTTCTTTCTGTCTTGGAAAATAAGTTCTTTATTTCGTCTTCGGTTTGCTCCTTCTCCTTTATGCCAAGGAAATCGATGTTGCACCGTTGGTATACATATCTACGGAGGGCTGACGCAGGGGGAACAATAAGAGGTATGCAGTAGGAAAACAAGGCGATCGAGCGCGTTTCGCGACAAACAGACGGCAAACTCGAGGAGAAACAAAAAACTCATCAATCCCTCCTTCGCTGCATATGAACTGGAGAACTTGAGCGGGTGTACAAAACAAGGCTCGTCGATGTAATGAGAGCTAGTATACTATTGTTTCTCTTCTTTCTTTCATGTTTTTCTTTCTGCGAGCATTTTTTAAACTAGAAATTTTTTCTCGTAGGTATATGTACAATTTCATACAATTTCCAACAGTCGATGTAAAATTTTCGTCCCTCAATATAACTATGAATGTTTTGTGACATCAATTTTCAAGTGAATTAAAATTTAGATAGCTCAAGTGTCACATGATGCTAAGAGTGAAATCAAATTAACTAAAACACAAAAATGCTGCAGTGAACACAAACGAAAAAACATGTAGGAAGATTCGAGACGTTAAATAATTCTCTGCACGCAAACCTCGAGTATCGAAGCTGAGTCATTCATACGTCAGGGAAGGCAAAAGTTCCGCAAGCCTCGGAAGAGAAAAAAAAAAGATAAAGGAAAATATGAAAGACGTCAGCCGAACTTCAGTCTGCAGTCAGCTCTAGGGGAAGAGTTAGTCGCTGCCTCAAGCCGGATGGAGTGGTCGCAGATGCAATTGATGGCAAAAAGACAGCAGCAGCAGTATAAGGAGGACACAGCCGACGGGGCTCGGCCGTGAGACCCCCGAGTCACCGTAATCCTCGTCGTCCTCACCTTCCTTCCCACTCCGCTGGTTTGGATCTGCGAGCACAGTACGTACGTATATTTAAATTTTGTGGGTTAAATTTTGCGATGGGCTGTAGATGTTGAGATGAGTGAGTGACAGTATTTACAAAAAAAAAAGTATGAAAAATGCTGTGCGAAGCGATGCCAGCTGTGGGACGATGAAAAGTGCCATGCAACAGACAGTATCATAGATATAAATATAGGTGCAAGCACAACATGCAGTACCTTTCTAGGCCATTGACTTATAACTCTAAACAAATAAAATATTTCTTTGAGATTTATTGGTTTTTTTGAAGATTGGTTTTAGGAAAAAAAATAATAAAAATAATAAAAATAATAAAAATAATAATAATTATAATAATACTTATACCATAAGCTAAATATCAATATTTGTGCCGTAGTTATTAAACATGACTGCTTTAAAGCGGTGAGTTACATTTTCTTTAGAGAATTTTGAACCTCTATGTACTAGAGTAAGACGAGTTTGTCTCATCCTATTTATTGTATACGTACGTAAGCATTAATTTTTAAGGACAAAGAGCAAGTGTTCGAGTTACGTATTATTAAATCTATTCGTACTATCTTGCGAGCCGTTCATATCAGCTGTATAGTTTAAATGAGTAAATAAATTAGTTTTTATGCCTAAATGTGACAGTTGAGCTTTGACGAGTTTCAACGAAAAGTAAAATTTTACTAGCACCAAACTACGGAAGTATAATTTTTTAAAACTGTTTTTTATGTTTTATTTTCAAAGTTGAGTATTTAGAATCCAGAAAGTCACTTGGAATTATTAGTTTATTTGTCTATGACTAATTGAAAATCTCAAGCCTTAAAAATTAGTTGTTCAAAAGACAGTTATAAATCTCAAAAAAGTACTATTTTTACTATGAGTATTAATTTTCTATAAACTATTATATTAAATTTTTAACATTCCTAATTTTTTTTTTACAATATGTGTCTTTTCTTTATTAGTTTTTGGTTGGATGAAATTTTAGTTGAAAAAATCTATATATCTACTGTAAAGTATAAAATTGGTTATCATTACAAGTGGTTAATAGTATAATAGATGATAGTTAAAAATTAGCTATATTGTTAGAGGCAGCCATACACTTAGTATAAGAGCACCATCAAAGGAAAATCTTTGTTTGTTTGAGCAAAATAGAGACTGTTTGCAACGGAAAAGATTTCCTTATTTGTAAACACTTAAATTTCTAGTAAAAGTAGTTAAAAAATTTAATTTCTTAAAAACTTTAGATGCTACTTTTACAGCTTTCATGTCTTTAAAAGAACAATAGATGTTACTCAAAATCTTCTAAATATAAGTTATATTTAATTTGAATATTATTTTCAACCAAAGCGAAAATTTAGTAACATTTTAAGTTAATTTATTTCATGCTGAATAATTTAATTCGACATCAACTGGAAGCCGAAGCTATGAATAAAAACATCTAGCCCCCCAAGACACAGCAGCGATTGGATTGATTTTTCACTGTGAAAGAGAAAATCTACATTTGGACATTGCAAAACACATTAAATTATTACGTATGATACATACATAAACAAATGATAAAATACTTTGAAAAATAAAAAATAACACTCAGATAAATTTAAAAAAGCACCAACACTTTGAAGCTTTTCTAAATTCAAATGTCAAAAATAAGCAATGCAAATATTTCTGTAACACAACAAACAACCCGCGTAAAAATTTTTAAGTTTGGCCAAACTTGCGCAAAAATTCATGTGGTCAACGTTTGGCCAAGCTTGGGCAATGAGAAAATCCCAAACTTGGATTTTTGTTGGAATATTTGACTCAAATTTAGCAAATGTTCATCCAAACGTCTAAAAAATTCATTTGTTGCGTCAGGATATTGGTTGGTCTGCATATATGACTTACGAAAAATTTGAAATCCAAGTTTGAGATTTTCTCATTGCCCAAGCTTGGCCAAATTTTGGCCAAACGTTGACCACATGAAGTTTGGTGAAAGTTTGGCCAAACGTAAAAATTTTTACGCGGGAAGTAATTCAAAAGCAAGGGAAGTCGTGAGATATATTCAGCAGCTGCAAGGATTAGCAAACGACACGAAGGATGCATTAACTTGGCAACTCAAAAAACAAAGAAACGACAGAGGAGAAAAAAGAAACAGAAGAGTAGAAGCCAACCATAGTAAAGTTAAAATTAAATTTCGAAGCTTTTACACTCGACTCTGAAATGCAATAGAGAGTGTTGACTGTGGTACACAAATTTATACGCACCTGTTGAAAAAGTATGCAAAAAACGAACAAACAAACAAACAAAAACAAGAAGCACACCAACCTTTCTCCTTGAGCCTATCTTGATTTCCCTCGAGAAAGCTGTTTCCGGAATTTTTTCTCTGCTTGCCTACAATAATTATGATACAATCGTTTGAGCTTCATTGCAAGTGTCATCGGTCGTTGTAGTGGGTAGAAGTGATGGTGGTGTTGGTAGTTGGCAAAAAAGAGCATAATAGAGACGAATCTTGGGAAGACGCAAATGAATCGTGGGTGTGAGTCCTGGCTCTTATACATTTGTCCCCAACAAGCCCCTCCTCCCTTCATTAATTCAAAGTTTCAAGAACCGAGCAATAGAATAACAAGAACTTTCTTCATAAAGGAGACAATCACGTTTGAGGGACGCTCTAAAGATCAGGCAAGTTTCTTTTCACGTGCTAATAGAAAACATTCCCAATTAACGAAGGGCTGATCCAGCGTGTTTACAAAAGTTTGATTAAAAAAGTCCTCCCAAAGGAATGCATCAAAAATAAAGTACAGCTGAGATGATCAGAATTGAAAAAAAAACTACACTTTCTCCTTTAAGAGCGAATAAGCAACCGTGAAAAATTTGCCTGGTCGAGTTTCCTAGGAAGTATGGGAGGTGGGGGTGAAAAATATAGTGCAACGCCTGCTAATATAAGCCTAGGGTAATCCAAAACCTCGAATCGTTTTTGTGAACGATACTATCAAAGAAGAATGGAGGATGGGGGAGGAGGGGGGCAAAGACTTTGGTATTCGGGCCTCGAGAGCGAAAAGTTTGTGAAAGCGTAAAAGGTGATCCTCGGTCGCGGCTACGTAAATCTCGTCACCTGCGCGGCTCTTGGGATCTTGAGTCTCTTCCATTCTGATAGCCTCTGTTTCGGAGTTTAGATCCGTCTTTGCTCAGCGCCAAATTGACAGTTTGCATGCAACGTGTTCCGTCGAGAAAGATGGGATCTGGTGTTAAATAGTGTACAGTATAGATGGGTGAGAAGTAATACCCGAGTGGCTAAGATTTTAGGCAAACAAGTTGGGGCTGAAGGGTTTTTCTCTTCAAAAACTTTGTGTCTCGGCTTAAAGTTATTTTCAAGCTTCAAAATACCATGGAGAGCATCGTAATATTGCGTGGTAAAGGTACTTTTATTTATTTATTTATTTCAATTCCGCAATAACTCAAATTAAACACTATCATTCCTTCTGTTGTCAAATCATAACAAAAAAAAAAAAATAATAATATCGCGAGCAAAACAAAGCTGGCTAAGAGTTTACTGCAAAAAAAACGGTCTAGTAGAAGGGAAAATCATCACCGTTTGTTGATCAATACATAGTTCAGATGCCGTATGTAACCAACTCGAAAATTCGTTAGGACTAAAAACGAAAAAGCCCTTCTCTCATATCCTAGTACCGAGTTACACATGTCGAGCACGAACTTGGCGGAAATATTTTACGCATAGAAGAACACATGTACGGAGCGTCAGCACCAGCCTACATGATGTAGCTGCGTGTGTGTACGTTCACCAGTCCTTTTTTGGGCCAGAAAGCTCAAAGAGACCACAGCAAGTGGATTACCGTATACGTAGGATACGGTATATGCATTTGGAGTAACGAGCGGGAGGTTGCGGAGTCATATACCACGTGTATGATGTATGGATTGTAACTCCGAATCCACGGCTGAGTCGTCGGTGAAAAAGACTACAGTGAACGAGAGGCCGAGCATATTTGAGCTAAAAAGGGAGGTTGTGCGGTGCGCGCATGTGGGCATGAATAGGCACCGAGCATGCAACAGTGAAAACGGGAAGAATAAAATCCGCGTCAAAAAGTCAGCTGCTGCAGCGTGATCCTTGCAATGTATATCACACGCATGCAGCATAGAGGGATTTTTTCTTCTGAACGCGCGTGCAAGTGTAAGAGGGGGAGAGCATAGTTTAGGCAGAAAATGCGCGCTCTGAAAAGAAAGTATTCCACGGAAAAGGTGAAAGGTGCGCCACTGCTGATTTCTCTCCGCTAGCTTCCTTTGTGTGTTTTATCCCTTTCTGGGAGCACGCACGTTTTCCTCTATTGTCTGGCGAGGCGCACGCGAATCGTTTTCGGGCGCTCTTTCGCCCTTTTGGGCCTAAAGAACTCATCGCGAAACGGCGGAGGGAAGCACGACAAACGGAAGTGAGACATTTTTTAGCAGCAGTTCGGGATGAAGACGCGAGAAAAGAGAAATACAAAAATGAAGAGTGAATGATATCTGACCGCTTGTTTTTGTCGAGGACATTGTCTGATTTCAAATCGAGTGCTGTGTGTAGGTGTCAGTTCCTAACGTTGTTGCGATTTGTACGGCAATGCAAGAAACGAAAGTGACGAAGTATTGCTGAGAATTAGAGTATTCATATCATAGACAAATACGCAAAAGTTGGTTTTACTCGTCACGTTACTTATGCATCATCTGGAACGATTTTTGAGTTGTCTTCTTACTTTTTGTGCACTCGTTTCTTTCATCACGCAACTCTATTTTGTCAGCCAACAAAGTTTATTGAATTTATTATTTCAAAGGATCTAAAAGTTTCAAGTTATATTTATCATTGCTCAAAATGTTAATAGTTGATCAAAGATCAGTCAGCATAGTATAGGTCTCATAGCTACAAGACACAAGTTTTGTAAAATTTTTATACCCGACTGTTTAAAAGGTATTGTATAAGTAATAAGGTAACAGCATTACTACTTTAAAATAATTAAATAACAAAATGACATAATAATCTCTTGATTAATTTTGAAACGTTTTATATAGCAAAAGTATTACAAAACAAAAGAAAAATAATATTACACATTACCGATCAATAGTATATGAAAAATTTAATGTACCGATGAGTACAGCTAAATGAATATCAATGCTGTTCATCATCATGTTATTCTTAAAATGGACTAAATCGAGCCTTTTGATACTTTTGTTAGGGTCCGTCAAATTTGTTTGTCAAAATCTTTCGCTCTACCAACAGAGATAAGCTCTATTGTACAATCAGATGTTGTATTTGATCTAAATTAGAAATAATTTTCACGTAGTAAAAATTAATCCAGCAACGCATTGAAATCAGTACAACACATGTAAGCCCAATACTGCCAAGGACCATAAACTAACCACTCGACGTATACACTGCTGGACAAACTAAGGCAATACTCGTACAAAACTCCGAAGTACGATAACCATTGTTGTACAGAGCCTCGATCTTCTGCATCACACACACATACACGAGTTCACGCATGCAAACCCCACTCAAAGCTTCATTTCAACGATTCTGGAGAGCTAGGGGGCCCAAAGAGAAGGGAGCCAGCAGCGCGGCGATACTAACCACCGGCCCGTGCGCGCTTCTCGTCATTAAAACTTTGCTGTAACTCTCGATAAGCCGGCAGCAGCTCCTTTTTTCCCTCCTTTTCTCTCTTTCCCTTCCTATTTTTAATCCTCCCTTCCTCTATGTGAGTTCAGAGCAGCAAGAGGGTATATCTATGGGTACCAGCTGGGTGGTGGTCGTAGCCTCGGGGTCGGTTGGAGTGGCTGCGATCTAATTAATCAGCGACCTGTTCCTCTGTGGCGCAGCCATCTGGCTGATTTTAGAAAAGACGGAAGGAAAAGAGGAGGACCTGCACTTCCTCGTTAATTGGAAATGCCCTTTTGCCGCGAATGCACAAAGAGAATCGCTCGGACTCTCTGATGCTGTTCATAGGCACTCGACCTAAGATTCCTCGTGGTTACGAGTTTTGACGTTTCAACAATAAAAAAATCTCTACACATAGATATGATGTGAGCTTTTCGATGTATCATGATTGTTTTTTTTTTTTTTTTTTTCTTATATGTCAGCCCAGAATGTCCTACGATGCATGGAAAAAAAATTCTCAGAATAATCCCACGGTTAGTGTTCGCTACTGTTGGTACTTTTCAGTGGTGCAGCTTCCAAATAGAGAAGGGAAAAGAACTCAACGCACTTGCGCTCATTAATCGTACAATTATGAAAAGTTTTAATTAGTTCGCGATAGGGGGGGGGGTGGAGAGACTGTTCACGTACTCTTGGCGTGTAGTACATACTACTCAGACTTTTTTTCATATCAGCTCTACGGAGGCGCGTGCACATTTGTTTGTTTGTTTGCGGAAATAATGTAGAGTTGTGGCAAGAATAAGCTGTGTAAAGCTAATAATGAAAATTTTAGACTGGCTCTTTTTGTTTTACGGAGAGCGAATTTTTGGAAAACTCCAACTGGTGCTGTTAAACTTGGAAAAATACAGAATTGGTTGTTAACCAAAAAGGAACTTAGTAGAATACTTTAGGGAAAAAATTGTTAGTTTCAAGGTAAATTATGATACTAAAAATGAAATACTTAAGATGTATTGGTTTTTGCAACTTATAAATTAAAATAATCATGATGGAATACTCCACCTTAACTCGATGCTGCAAACTAGTGGTTTGCGGTCATCAAAATTCTTAATTCCAGTTGCAAGGATCAAGTTTTTTTTTCAATCATAAGTAAACTTTGCATGCCTATACTCATTAGAAAGTCAACCAAAAGAAGAAAAAAAAACAGTCCCGAAGCAACGTATAGATTTGCAGACGAAACAAGGTGGAAACGTTAAATCTTTTTTAGATGGCAAACATTTTGTACGGTTAGTTGTATGTGTCGAAAAATATCTAAGAATGTTAGTATAAATAGCATAATAAAGATTAAATGATAACTGCAAAGCTGTAAGCAAATACAACAGCGGGTACGAATAAAGAAAGGTATTTCAGAAAAAAAAAACATGTGTAAAATCATGCAGAGCACGTACCTTTGTATTTCATGTCATCGTCATCGCTCGAGTGATAACCCGAACTCGCTGCTATTCCTGTAAAAACAAAAAAATATCTAATTAATCTTCAATTTGTACAAATTAAGTTTAAAATTGGTACGCGTTTTTAAATTTTGCTTTCTCAGTCGAGGTGTCCCCAAATCGTTCCGTATTCCCATTGCATATTACGTCTCACGGTTCTCCGAAATTCATCAAAGGACAAACGTTCAAGTATCTCTACATGGGTTGTTTATTCGCTAGTATGGCCATATATTTGGTGGAGAGGCTTCTTTCCCAAGATTTGGGGAGCCGGCAGTCCGGAGAGATTTGTATCCACGTAAACTCGGTCGATTGGGGCAAGCAGGTTTGCGACGAAATTTATAGCTCGCGAGCGCGGGAAACACTCTGGCGGCACTTAATAGGGACACAATGAATTTCAAGTCAAGTTTCGCCCACCCACTTCCAACCCCTTTGTCTTTCCGAGTAGCGCAAATACAAGTTTCAAGCGGCACTTCGATGTATTCAAATCCCCCGTCTCTCGAAATGCAAAACAATTCGGGTCCAATCTTAATTGTAAATTGATTGTACATGAGCTTGCAAATAGAAATTACGCGTAGAAATTATAGTCCATACGCCGGACAACAACTCGAGAGGAAGGGAGGGAGGGAGGAAGACCCATCGAGCTATTTCGGGAAACTCTGCAGAAATTCATTATGGATACAAGTAGTTAAAGCATGCTTCATTTTCGTTTCGGAGTGTATTTGTACGGTTGTAGCTACGTAGTCGCGCTTCTGATATTTGTGCAAATGTTTTGGATGCTCGGAATTTATAATGCACAGTAAATTTCTTCATTTAAAATTTTACGACATAATTTTTCACAACTACACCAATATTGATCAGCAATATTGACACCAATAGGGAAATTAAATAAACAGATATCTTGAATTTGCTACCAGTAAGTACTCACGGTAAAGTTTGATGGTGCCGTCCGTGTCGCCAAGGGAGTTCCTAGAGACACATTTGAAACTCCCAAAGTCAGAGGCGTCCACGTTCCTAATGGTTAATTTCATGTGAACCTTGTAAGTGCTGTCGTGTACGCTAGTTTCGTACTTGCCACCTGAAAATCGAAGAATATACGAGGTTACACAATCATAATTCCGAGCACATTTCGATAAAATGGCACGACATTATGGCATTTCGATGTACAATATTTATGAGCTGAAGAAGACGAATTTTCTCATAAGATTCGCAACATAGCCAAGACGTGACAATGGCTCAATCAGAATCATTCGGTATTCAACAAGTGACGCAGGTAACGTGATTTCCGACTAGATTAGTGCCATTCAAGTTTCGGCGATTTACGAGTAGGCGCGTTTTACAATCTGTAAAAAAAATATCAAATTTCGCGTCTTTTTTTCAAAATCTTTTTAGGTGTAAATCTAGGATGAATTAAAAAATGTTATATTTTCATTGAACATACTTTTCAAAATTAATATTTTAACAATTCATTTGTTCAACTCTGTTCTTAGAAAGCCTCATTTACATCAGCATCTTTCATATTTTTGTTTTACTTGCTTTTGCATAAAATATTCATAATCAAAGAGATTTAAGTAATGTATGTAAGACAGAAAACTCTTTCTCTTGACTGAACGTAAAGCTTGTACAAGTAGAAATATTTCTGCATACTCAAAATGTCTCTTCTAGGCTCTTTGAAGTACTCTTGTTTCGAGGCGAAGTTTCATGCAAAGGGAAATATGGAATATATGTATACATTAAATTTTGCAAACAAAATTACGAGTTGTGCAACAGAGCGTAAAAATTATATTTCGACTGGTCATCGGGTAAATCGTTGAAAATTACACATACCAATTATACATTTATAAATTCAATATTGTAACGAAAATGAAAAGTTGTAATCGATTTCGATGAAAAGAACGTTTTTTTAAAAGTCGCAATCGGTCAAAAGTTCAATTATTCATCAAAACAATCTGGAAACAAAACAATCTTTTTTGAAAAACGTATTTTTCCCCTTTGAGTTTCTCGTCACGTTCCCGGGCGCTCCACTTTTTCATTTCGTGCTTTAAACATTGAAAACTGTGGATTGAATTTGAAAAAAATTAATATTCATCTGCAAACATATATGTATTTCAAAAATGTATAAAAAATGTGTATAAAAAAAAGAAAAGAAAAAAATTCCGCAACGATAGTCAAACAAATAAAAGTGAATGACACAATCGTTGAATCATCAACAAGGAAATAACAAAAGAAATACCCATAATAAAAAGACAATAATCGTCTCATTCTCATATCGATTACGAGCTGTCTGCACGTGACAAAGTCGGTAGAAGGAGGAATCTCGGGGCATCGTTTTCCCATCGGGCAACGCGCTTCGTGCGTTAAACACGCGACATCCCCGCACGTTACTCTGCTCATATCCGCATTGGCCGCATGCATTATTCAGCAGCTAATTTCGTCCGGCTACGAGGAGATACAACGTTCCCTTGCCCCCCCTTCACCACTGGCCACCATCTAGCATTGACGAGCTGTGTATAATATTGTAGGTAAGGCAGGCGAATTTGTACAAATGCGCGTGTACACGCTGACGAAGGGAGGGATGGCCCAGAGATAGAGGTCGAAAGATTTCCGGGATTTCGGGGAAGCGCGCGTAATGCATAAACTCACAGCTCTCATAACACAAAACGTATACGTTATTGGTGACCTCGAGCCTGTATCGAATGTAAATATTTCCCTTCTCTCTCGCACACGCCTATGCAGGAATGTGTTTGTTATGCTCGTGTCTGTGTGCTTATGTCAAAGGTGGTCGAAAATCCATGCATTACGGGATTAAATACCAGTTATCTGAGCCATAACGAATATCGTGATTATTTTGCACCCTTGAGGATTGATGAGGACACTCTCAGGGGTGTTAGCTGTACGTGCAATTTTGCGGTATTACCCCCAAGGATAGATAGTAAGTAATGATATTCTACTTTTACGGGTATTTGCATGAAACAAAAGGGTCAATAAGAGGTGTAAGAATACAAATGATGATAACTATCTTTTACTGGAGCAATTGTTCAACTTGGCAGCGATCAGACTTAATCGATGAATCACGCTATTTGTGATTTTTCGTCCTGTGTGTTTTTTCGTGAAATCTAAAAAATATCTCGTCAATTCGGAATTTATGCTCATATTAACATTTTAATGAAAAATTAAAGCACGTTATAAATGAATTAAAAAATCTTTGTGAATATCAGGAAAAACAATTTCTACAAAACAATGAAATGAAATGAAATGGAAAAAAAAACGATTTTCCATACGAGTAGAATCATTCCACAGTTAACCTATGCACAAATGACTATGATGAATTATAAGCATTGGGTATGACCAGTTATTTACCTTGAGGCACTATTTCGTCTTTGTCTCGCGTCCAGTAGTTGATGGATTTTGGAAAGGCTTCAGATATGCACTCGATTACTATTGTCTGTCCTTCCCTGGCCCCGATCAGCTGATTCGGTATCCAAATCATGGGCGGGACTGCAAAATCAACCGATCGATTGCATTACATTAACCAATTAGTTTGCCGCCTCTTGTCATTGTTGTACGCGCGGGTCTCAATTAGATGATTCATAACATTTTAACAAATGTAGCTATAAAAAGTGCGTCACTCACATTGAACAATGAGGTTGATCCTTTTACTGACAGTTGGTGGCACTGCGTTTGATGCTATGCACAGGTAGGGGCCCATGTGCTGTCGGTTAACTCGCGTCAGGTTAAAGATAGAGCCCGTTACTATTTGTACTGAAAAACATTTAAAAAAAACAAAAGGTGGTTAATTTACATGATAATCAGTAAGTGATATTGTAACGATAAAAATCTTGCAAAAAGAAAAAACTCAGTTGAGTCAAGTTGTACATTATAATTTTGCCTTTCGAAAACTAACCAGCGAACGATAGGGAAGTCCTCATAATTACCTTTGATTAGAATGCTCGCTTGACTCTTTCCAGCCCCTGTACTTGACCTCCTCTTTTCCCTGCCTCTGACTGCAGAAATTTAATGTACAGAGATTCGCCGCAGCAGAGCAGAAGATCAAAAGATCGAGAGAGAGAGAGAGAGAGAGAGAGAGAAAGAGGTAGTCACAGAGTCGGATCTCTGTAGCGAGTTCTCTGGTGTGCGAACGAACAAACGAAGGGGACGCGGGAAAGTACGAACCACACGGCGCTGAAAATTTGGTTTACTTATCTGGAAGTTGGGGCCGGCGAGCTCCTATGAAACTACACTCATGCACCGACCGCAATCGAATAACCCTTACCCCTCGGCCCCGAATATTTGCACGCTCTACTCTGACAAACTACGTCCTCCACCCTGGAAATGGACCTAAGCTCGACTTTGGGCGCGCTAATCCAAAAAAGAACGAGCACCCCCTCCACGTGCTGATGCTGTACTCGTTTGGTCTAATTGTGTTTGTATTTCGGGGGCAAAAGTGAGCCCTCTCTGGCGATAAGCGGTCAGTAGTGTACTTTCAAGCGGTCCACGCTCGTAGCCTGTATTTGTAAAATGGTACGTTTCATGTTGTGCATGGTACTCACACGCGTTAGGGAGCTATGTACTTTCCAAAGGATTTGCTAGCGGTGGAGAGATGGGGTGTAAAATACGACTGGAGAACAGTTTTGAGTAGAGCTTTGTTCTAAAAGCTTTTTCGAGAATTATTTAGTTGTTGCGAGGGGCAAAAAACAAAAATAGATCCACGGTTGGTCTCGTCTGGCTCCCATTGTGATTTGGCGATTAATTTGCAAATCTCCAGATGTAAAAGCTCTGTTTGTCAAAAACTCGCGCTTGAAGCTGACTGACGCTTTTAAGCCACTATAGATTTACGATTTTTTTTTCCTGTTGCGTTAGGACAATATGAGGGTGTGACTGATGCGATGGAATAAATAATTTTTGTAAAGTTCGTCCAGGAGAAGAGTGGTGCAAATGTTTTATCAGGATATCAGAATGACGAGGTGAAAATTTAGCTCTTGATAATTGTTTGGGAAACTTTAATTTGTTTCAGAAGAGAAATGGATATTTGTAGTAATGCAGTTGAACTTTTGTTGGACAAAGTAACAGGATGATCAGAAGTTCTTTTTTTTTCGTACTCAGGAACGTTTGAAACTTATGAGAAAAATCCATTTCCGCGGACCATGCTAATTTTTAAAAAGACGAAAGTAGGCACACTTTTGAATTTAAATTACTCTGAAGGTATGGTATGAAAATGAAAGATGGAGAAACCATAACTTTGGAATCAAAGCAAGAATTTAAAAATCAATGAGAACATTCAATGAAAACAAAAAAAGTGAAGCTTCAAGAGATCGATAGAAAATTTCTCTCAAGTAGTAATATCAACGATTGGTCAGGCAGACACTGATGTCTGACGTCAACATGTTTTTAAAGTTTCCAATTTTGTTGAATACACATTCTGTAAAATATATTTTTAATCATCGCACCGACCTCTGTGCATACATACTTTGATTCAAAACTTCAGCTATTGTATAAGTATGAGTGTAGAAAGGACAGCAATGGCCTCAAAAATCACGAAAACTAAGTAAGAAGCAAAACTTTCTACGTGCTTGATGAAAACTGCGCTAAATAAATCTTAATTTTTCTTACATAATTCTGAAAATCTATTGGAACCCAACAATACGTATAAAAATAATTTAGTTGTGAGGTAGAAAGTTCAGTTCAGCTGTGGTTTGATTCCTTTGAGAATCCAGCCTCCGTCTCAGGATAACTCACACGTATAGAAAGGGCGACCATGATAGAATCGTGGCTGAAGGACTAGACGCTACTGCGGCCAGGAATTGGCTGGCCAACTAGGAACACGCTAACCGCTAATGTAGCCCTTATCCCTGGCTTCGAAAACGAATCTCCGATCCGATGCTTCTTCAGTGCACGTATACATGTTTAAGATAAGTAGAAAATTAAAACCAAAATTCGATTGATAATCCACGCGAAATTTCCGAGTTGCTGCGGCAGTTCAAAAGTTTTTTGTTACCATATGTCATGGCATAGTATCAGCTCGTTTTATTTATCAAATGCGTCTGTACTTATCGCAAAGTTTATTCCGATGCACGATCATCGCTTTTAAAAAGAAATCTCGTGATAAAAAAAACACGCTGCTTGAACTTGTACGGTAGCTTTATTGATCAAATGTAAAGGAGATCTTGTAACTGAAAAATAACGTACTTGTTGGTACAACTTCAGGGGTACCTGTCTTTGGCTGTGCACGTGAATTCATGTAGAGGAACGAGATCGAGTAGTTTTATCGTGTTTGCATAAGGCAACGACATATTAAGCTATATTGCTTGCTAGGATCATATTCGTTACGATGTAGTACGGAACGTAGCGGCAAAAGTGCAACGGATGGAGAAATTTGGAGGTAGACACCTACCAGCTGTTTCAAGCATCAGTAACGTGCTTGCCAATTTCAAAGCAAATTTGAGGACTGTACGACCTTTTGCTTGAGCTCTCGCTGTCTTTGAGTAAACATATCGCTTGCCAAGAAAAGCGTGGGACCGGATTGGGGTGTCTGCGTGCCTTGTTTGTTTGTTCGTCTGTTAGTTTAGTCCTCTCTCTGCCGAATGATAGCTTCGTGTCACCGTGTCGCCGTCTGAGCTGAGATTTCAAAATTAGCTTGCTTATACGGTAGTGTTGGGGTATAACGATGCTGAAGTTTGACTACACTTTTCTCCAAATTTAGCGTTTTTTTTTTTTATGACTTTATACCATACTGGCTGAGCAAAAAAGAGTCATAGCGATATTCGAAGTCAACAAACATTAACATACGTATTCGCAAGTGTACATTAAAAAATTAATTCAGACATAAGACTTTGTAAATGTACCAAAAGTATTAAAATGTATCAATAAGGGATCGGGCATACTATATAGTCGATATAATTATCAACGTTTCATCCCTATCCTCGTTTCATCTCCTACTCCGTTGTGCAAAATATCACTTACCTTCTCTGTCCTTGGCGAGTACAATCGGCTTTCCATCCTCTCGACGCCAAGTAATCGTTGGCAGTGGCGAGCCAGTCGCTGAGCAGCGCAGCGACACATTTGTCCCCTCTCTCACGACTTGGTCGGTGCTCGTCTCGTAATCTATTATATCGGGCGGCACTGAAACACAAAAGTACCAGTCTCGATTTGATATACTACCCCGAGATGTATACGTATAGGATATTAGGGTTGAGGTGGATGCTTTGTACGTGCTCACAAGTGCGTTTACGAGAGGTTGCGCGTCCTTTCATTACGGATCCTATTTTAAATACGGACGATTTTACTGCCCCATACCTTGATCGGAAGCACTGGATTAATTAATTTCTACAATAATTGTCATTGCTCTATATTTTTTGCAATTTAAATGGTTTCTGAAAACCAGCAAATGTATGTATATGTTTTTGCAAACTTTTAATTTACCTGCCACAGGACAAATTTTTTTTTTTTTTTTTTTTTTTTACTGTGCATGATACGTGTTACATTTCATTATAAAATTTGATACTCATATAAAATAACAGAAACTAATATTTACTTTCGTCAAATATAGCTGATTGAAATATCGAGGAACGATGCATCATGATAATCGAAATCAACTCAAAAAGAGAGTTTCAAATCAAATAAAACTATTTGCCCTGTTGAAAAAACGAAAAATAAATCATAAATATATTCATAGTTTTCACGTATCTCACATTTTTGAATGGTTTTATAACCTTTTCTCGCAAGCATGATGGTCATCTCTGTTAAGATTGACCCTGGCAATTAGCACTTCAATTGTTTACTGCTCAATCTCTTGTCAAGATGTACGTCACCTAAAATTACATTCCTCCTTTTCTTCTCATCCCAGTCGTTTGTCAAAAATATAAACGAACGATTTGTCGTGTCTTTCCTTTTTTTCCTTCCTTCTGAGGAAGAAGTAAAACGATCAAAACTCCACCTACCCCTTCCGTGAATAAGAGAGCCCTCTTGCGAGAGAAGAAGAAAAAGAACTCTAAGATTGGGATCTCCGTTTGCCTTCCGCGGCTATTTGTTTTCTCTATACAGGCGATTCTCTGCAACTCGTCTGGAATTGTATTTATATCACACTAAGCGTAAAGTTCGTACTGTTCTTCCTGTATATAGGGACAGAAACTGTGTAATAAGTGCGTGTACGCATGCGTATCTATATCTTACTTTATATTACTATATACATAAACCAATTAGTGCCTGAAGTAGTTCGGTGCTCGAACATAGCGAGGGCGCCACACTGCAGTAAACAAACAAATTTGGGAAATATCAATAAGATAAAAGAAGCCAATGTACTGTTTGCTGGTGTATTTTATACAAAAAAAAACATGAGATTCTGAACAAATGGAAATAATTAAAATTGTTATACAATTTTCTTTGTTCACACATTTTTAAATAATAACTGCATTTTTACAGTTCTTCATTTTTATCAATCTTGTATAATAAACTATTGAAATTATTACATTTCGAAATACATTCATTAAAAGAGTTAAATAATTAGGTCCTTGTTCTTATGCTTCCATTGTAAGAATCGAGCGTATGCATATTCATACAATGCTCTCGATTTTATGGGAAGTAAATTTTGAACAATGGCATTTTGTTTACAGTCAAAGTCTCTTCCTTCCCCTACTTTATCCTCGTTAAAGTTTTCTTCGTCAGAAGAATCCTCTTCAAACATGACTGTCGAAACTGTTGCCATATTTTATACAAAAATACAGGAATATCCTAAATATCACAATCGGAAACAATTATAAAAACTCTTGTGATATAACCTATAACCACACAATGAATGGCTTGTTTTCCTTCTATCTCTTTCTCTCTCAATGTAACGAACTTTCCACTGAGTGTGATATAAAAGTGTATACGCACCGCGAGACTAAAGCAAGCCAGCGAGTGGCTATTGCTTGTAGCGCACACTACAACAGCCACGAACTGGCTTGCTTTAGTCCCTTGGTACGTAATATACTATTTCTCATTTTCTTCCATTCACTTTGAAGGCTCTATAACGGATGTCATGCGTGCAGGGAAGTTATTCTCCGTGAAAGGATTTTCTTTTGAAATTTGATTGAAACTAAAAACACTCCGTTAATATAAAAAATATAATAAAATTACGCTGTGGAACAAGTACACGAATAATTAGTATTTGTGATTTCTAGTTATTGAAGTATCATGAAAAATACACCAGTTTTCTGCAATCGTAGATTTTCTCACCACTCGTCATTCGTGACAACGCTAAATTTTAAATAACAGCGTTGGATCTTTAATTTTTATTACGTAGGAAGTTACCTCAAAGATATCTAGTATGAATCTAATTAATGACTCTGTGGCCGAAGTATGAACTAACTTGCTTTACCAATGAAGTAACGAGGAAATTAGGTACATCTCAAGCTTGATGGTGACATCTGTTTTTATATACAAGTCAAGGGTAATGCAGTTAAATTAATTCAGATATAAAATTTATTAAAAACCATCGCTTACCTCTGGACTGTGAATCTCTGTAATTTCTTTACAAATAAAATAAGGCCTGCATAATTCGACAGAATACATCTCGCACAAATACAAACAGTTGCAAAGCTTCAACGCGTTTCATCGGCTCGCGAGTTAATACCTTTTATTCGTGGAAAACAAAAATATTTATTCTTGGAGCCTCACTTCCCAAAAAAAACTCTTTCACCTCACAGTCAGATAAAATGGCTTTCAAATAATAAACACTTGTGCTGCATGCATTTGCGAGTACACCCGCACACCACATGCACAAACGGACACGCAGACATGCACACATGGGAAACCGCTCGGGCATTCATTTCGCTCGATCAAACTCTCATCTTGCTCTCTCCATTCATTTGAAAACTTTCAATTCTCGCTCGAGCTTGCGAAATTAAAAAATATATCGTTACAATGGTACCTACGACCTGGATTCTTTCTCGTCCATCAGCCTCTAAAATTCAACAAACTACTGCCGCTGCAGCAGTTCTTTGGAGCACACTCTCAATAGACCTATGGTCAGCAGTGAAGGCCCAAAGCTCTTCGTTCTCTCTCAACCCTTTCATCCATTGACCCGCGAATCATTATGAACAATCAGTGCCCAGCCAAACAAAAGTCGTTGTCCAGCAGCGAAAGAGACCCCTCCGAACAATAGGTCTCTACCGTCTCTCTCGTGCGTGTGCATTTTTTTCTACTCGCACCATTGCGCACCCAAATGTGGACTATTATGGCCCGCATAAATCAAGCAAGCGCACCGTCCACCCGGGCCACTGCTGGTTAATTTTTTTTTTCTCTTTCTCGTGGACCACGATGGCTCCAAAGATAGGTAGCAGCCCTGCATGCTCTTTCACGCCGTATAGCGCAATAAAGCGCCCAATGATAAGGCGAAACGACGTCCGGCACGTTGCAGGAAACCCTCCCCTATCCATCCAGCCGTGCAGGAAAACGTCTGCGCGTGTCCTTCGATTTCTGCTGCTGTTCTTTTATCTCTGGTGTTTCGTCCGGCGCCGCGTGGCTCGAGTTTTATCCTGGAGTTTTGTCCTGAAGTTATGTCCTTAGAATCGGGCTATGTCTTCTTCTGTATTTTATTTTTTCGACTTCCCTCTACACTCCCTATGTGTATATCTACGTGCAGATTATTCAGAACTCTGCTTTTTACGCACTAACTGTATGAATATATTTTTTCATTCTCTGTTTTTTCACTATTTCAACTTACTTTCGGCTTTGCTGGTCGCTTTGTGCACTTTTTTTTTGCTTTACAGAAGCATACCCTACTCCTGTTCTTTTTCCTTTATTTCTTTGAGCTAGTACATTTTCGTATCCCTCTTTTAATTTTTTTTATTTAAACTCTATTGAATACTTATATTTTGTGAAAATATATAGACTAAATTGTTTCAGCCCATAAACATAAGATGCACTGCTCAGTGGGTCTTTGTCAATGGAGGCTAATCATTTCCAATCTTAAGTGATACACAGAAAATATTATCGATCCTATTTAGTATTTCCTAAATACCCCTCATTAAAGTCAAACTGAAAGTATAAACGTATTTCGATTCGATTTTGAACTTTAAAAAAAGTGCCGGGGTCAAGTAAACCTGTAGCAGAGGAAGAGGAGGAATCCAGCGCGTCCCTTGAGAGTATTGTCTTAACGTCCCCTGTGTGGTGCCTTGCTCATGGATGTGTACCAAGAGATGTGTGGGACAGGGTAAATCAGCCTAGGGAAAACGAATGGAAGGTTGAGGTGTTTTTTTTTCCATCTCTGCTGGAACTCGATTTGCGATCGATGCTACTGTACCTAATGTTACGACAATCGTCCATTCCGGTCTTTCATTTTTTTAAAAAGTAGTTTCACGCGCATATTTTTTTACTGTAAGTACAATTATTGGCTTCGTGAAAGATTTGACGAAATTTGATGTTACTCAGTAGGATTAGCTCCAAAGGTTGTTTTTGTTTCTGTACCCCCAAGGGGTAGCTGATGCATTTGTAAGCAATCATAATAACCACATTAAACTGCATAAAAAAAATCATACAGCAAGAATTGAAAAAAAAGGAATCTTCAATTTAGACTTTCCAATCGGAGAAAGACCAGGGCTCGCATTGAATTAGCCAGAGTTTTACGAGCACCAACCACTCGATTTTCCATTCCACCGCCTTTTCCATTTTCCCGTTACCTTTTCACTATCTATTTTCCATGTCCGTATTTGTTTTTGCACGCGCGCACAGCGTATAAAAGCAGTACCTGCAGAACTCGGCTTGTGTTTTATTCGCTCCCGGGAGGTCGAGGTAGACGATGCGGCCAGTAATCTCCGTACGATCGACTCCAAGTTTCTCATCAATCTGGGAGCAACAGTAGATCCGCTTGTCCAACCGGCCATTGTACCAAGCCTCAAGCTTCCTCTCCCCCTGTCTGTCTTGGTCACGCTGATCCAAATCGGATAGCGCTAGTTTTTCTGGCCACCTCTCTTTCACCCAGCATTTTTTGTCCACCACTACCAACACATCCTCCGGTACACTCGTTCGGTTTTAGTGCTTCGTATGACTATACGGGAAACGTGAAGGTAAGAGCGAAGGTGACCATTCCTGTACTTCCTATTAGCTATTTCTTGGTTTCGTTTAATTATTTTTATACTACC